GGGGTTTTTGCTAACCTGCTGTAAATCTAGCTGTTCCTAGATCATAAGATAAACACAAGTACACATCAGTTACTAGATACTAAGATAAACACAGGCACACAATCATTTCTTTAGAAGCAAACAGAAGTGCTACAGTTTCTCAGTAAGAAAATATAGTTAGGACCATGAAGGCTTTGGTTCTATCCCAAAAAAGCGGCTTTACAGTCATCAACATTGAGGTTATTATTATTCATAACATTCATAGAATGAATAACAACAGCAGTTAACAGTCACGAGGTGGAGACAGCAGGTCTGAACCTAGAGTCTGCGCCCCTGACCACCACGCCTTGTGCTCTTCTACAGTTTATTCCCTATAAAGGGAGCGCGCAGGCACGCGTGCACACACACACACACATACACAGGGCAAATGAGAGTGCCTCTTTCCCTCCAAATTTGCTGACACTGAATAGTATCAATTTTTTACGTTTTGTCAATTAATTTAGAATAAGGGGTTAGCCTATTGTTTTAGTAAGGTTGAACATCTCCTCATTTATTGTTTGATCACTAGGCAGCCATTTCTATTGTGGATATTAACCAATTCCTGGAATATAAGTAAGTAAACAAGGGCTTGGGTTGTGGGTTAGCCATAGAATGCTTGCCTACCAAGCAAGAAACTCTGCGTCTGCCCCGAAGGTCCACTACTAACAAAGGAAGAGAAAAAAAAACAGACAGCAAGAAAGAAAAGGGGTAAGGGTAGGGGGATGAACTAAGCTCTGGAAAAAGCTGAATCACTACTGCACACCTTCTGCCAAGTAAATTCTGGATGGATTAAAGATAATGAAATCATAAAAGTATAATTCTTTCCTATGACAGCTTGTCAATCACTTTCTTGATATTAATTTAATAAGTTATATATTTATACTGATGAAAAGGCAATTCAAATAGGCAAATCAGTATGTTATAGACCATCAAGAGATCTAGTACAAGAGTACTCATGCCTATAATCCCAGCACTGGGGAGGCTGAGGCAGGAGGATCATTGCAAGTTCTAGGCCAGCCTGGGCTACAAAGTGAGCTTCAGGCCAGCCTGAACTGCCTAGTGACACTGTCTCCAAAAATAAAAAAGAAAGAGTACTGTAAGTGCCGGGCACGGTGGAACACCCCTGTAATCCTAGCCCTTGGGAGGCTGAGGCAGGAGGATTATCGTACTCTCTCAGACTACTGAGATTTGCTACCTATACAATTTAAATTTTAAATTTAAATTTATTTATTATTATTATTTTTGTTGTTGTTGTTTTGTTTTTTATATATGTGGTGCTGGGGATTGAACCCAGAGCCTTGTGCATGCAAGGCAAGAGCTCTACCACTGAGGCACATCCCCAGCCCCTACTTATGCAGTTTGTTATTCATACTTATTAAGTATCCACTAGGGATGTATGGGCAAGATTCTACGTGAATAAAAGTGATATCAATATTTATAGAAACTTACACTATGACTTTAAATGCACATACTCTGTGACGTACCAGTCCTGTTGTAAACTGCACTAATTACACTGTAAAACTCTAATAATTAAACCAAATGTGTACAGACATAAGAAGAGACTAATAAACCAATGAAACAGAAACCCCCAAACTAGACCCGTGTCTTAAGGAAATCTTGTATGTAACAAAGATGGTATTTCAAAGCAGTGGGGAAAGGATGAACTCTCTAGTAATCAGCACCGGGACAATGGGCTATTCAAACAGCAGAAACACTTTCCACCACACACCATACGTATAAACGCATTCCGGGTGAATTAAAAGCTAAACATTGGAAAGAGACGAAAACAGCATACTTAATTAGTCCCGACAAAGGAACATCTTCTTCAACAAGACACAAGATGCAGAAGCCAAATGGAAAATATTGATAAATCTGAAATACTAATTTAAAATTCTGTTCAGTGAAAAAGAGAGACAATACACTCAGAGTGAGTATTTGCTATGTGCGTAACAGGCAAAGGATTGACAGGAAAATATATAAAGAACACCCAGTGAGTAATAAGAAAAATAAATAATTTACTAGTGACACAGGCAAAAATAAAATTAAGCAACTCATGGAAGTGGATGAATATGAAAATGAAACACAAATGAGAGACTTGCAACCTCTCTAATGACAACAACGCTGGCGATGCAGCAGATGCTTCCCTAAATGCTTAGATACCCACTCATTTACTCTCAAGACAGCCCCAAGACACAGGTACTGTTATTATCCCATTTTACACACAAGGCAATTGAGGAAATTATGGCATGGCTCGGGGACATACAATAGGAGTGTACAGAGAGAATTCCAATGCAGGGAGTAGCTGCTCAGTCCAGCGAAGCTTTTTTTTTTTAAAGCAAGTCTCAACATGTAGTTCAGGCTGGCCTTGAACCCACTCCATGCCCAGGCTGGCTCTGAATTTGATCTTCCTGCCTCAGCCTCCTGAGTGTTGAGATTATAGTGGTGGTACCACCATGCCTGGTGGGTAAAGCTCTTAACTACTATTCTAAACCAGCTCTCTGGGAGTGAGGGAGTGGGAAACAGATCAAAGAGAGGCCACTTGTTGTCCCCATTTGCAAAATTTGGAAATTGAATTGTCAACACTTGGTAGAGGAATGAAACGGTGGCTTTTGTAGTAATAAATAAAGAGAGCTGGGCATGGTGGCGCAGGCCTGTAATTCTACCTTTTGGGAGGCTGAGGCAGGAGATCATCACAAGCTCCAGGCCTGTCTGGGTTACTTAGTGAGTCCGAGACCAGCCTGGACTACTTAGTGAGACCTTGTCTCAGAAAACAAAATGACAACAAAAAGGTACTTTGGAAAAACAAATGAAGAGACTATTCTTACAGAAACGCACTCTGGAAGAAAGTTCACAAAAACCACTTATGCAGAAAAAGTAGAAAGTAATCAGGTAGTTTGTCAACAACACTTTCTTTTTCATGAATACAGTGTCAAATCCTACAGTTTCTGCTTACCTCCTCTTTTTCAGTACTGGGGATTGAGGCCTTTGCATTGAGCTACACGCCCAGCCTTTTTTAGTTCTTACTTTCAGACAGGGTCTCACCAAGTTCCTCAGTTGCTCAGAATGGCTTGAACTTGATCCTCTTGCCTCAGCCTCCCAGAGTGCTGGGATTACAGGCATGTGCCACCACACTTGCCTCTAACTTCCTTATTTGTCTGTAGTGGTGAGAATGGAAGCCAGGACCTGGTACCGCAAGGGCTCTACCCCGAGCTCCATCTCCTGCCCTCTCCCTCCTGCGCTAACTTTTATGTGGTGTCTTCTCTTGTGCTTCAGGATTCAGTCAGCTCAGGACAAGCTTTCCTGAAAGTCTGTTTCCTGGTGCACAAACATCATCATTGAACTGGTTAATTCACCTTCCCAGCCAGTGGCCACACAGGTCTGTTTGCTGCTGTTTTCCATATTAGTTCCTTAGCTTCTTTCTCAACAGGTTCAAGAACCAAGACTGAGGATGAGAAGCACAAACTTTCCTTTTCTGTATTCAGAAGCCATTTGTTCAAAACACGTCTTGTTGTTGGGCATGGTGGTTCACGCCTGTAATCTCAGCACTTGGGGAAGCTGAGGCAAGAGTATCACTGTGAGTTCAAAGCCTGCCTAGTCTACACAGTCAGACCTTGTCTCCAAAAAAAGAAAAAATTATATCCAAAACTTCCTGGACTTTTCTGCATTGTGTTCTAAAACTTACTAGGGTTTCTGACTACGATGAAGCAATTAAGATTGGTAGGGTGAAATGGGCATTGTGGAAACATAATGAGCAGCTCAGAGCACAGGGCTTCACTAGGCCTCCAGTGGGGAGCCCTAAAGGGATGACTACATCTCCCAGAGAGAGGAATCTAAGACTGTTTTGCACTGTGGAGATGGGGTGTAAGAAGAGATTAAGGTCAGCTGGAGAATGTAACATCAGGATGCATAAGATTACACTTTTTGTTTATATTATTTTTTTATGGTACTGGGGATTGAACCCAGGACCTTTGCACTGAGCTACATCCCCAGCCCTATTTATTTATTTTCGGAGAAAAGGTCTCACTAAACTGCCCAGGCTGGGCTTGAATTTGCCATCCTCCTGCCTCAGCCTCCCAGAAAGTTGGGATCATAGGTGTGAAGCACCACGCCTGGTTCCTTTAGATCTTAGGAGAGTGACTAACACACATTCCTTTAAAACACAAAGCCTCCTTGTGGTTGCAAAAGTAGCACCACACCAGGCCTGAGGCAATGCTTTCCATATCCTATTAACCAGGTCCTCCATGCAAATAATTGCTGGACAGCTCCACCCTAGCACTGCGTGAACCACATACCAGCGCCCCACGCCCCAGGACACGGATACCCTCGCTGGAGGTCTGTGCAAACCCAGAGGACCTCAAGCATCCCACAAGCATCCACAGTCCTCATGTAACTGCAAAGCACCCTAAGGGTGGCGGGGGGGAAGCAGCGACCATCCAATGTCTTCTAAAGGCCGACAGAGTTAAACCAGGTCTTTCCTCACCTCCTCCTACTACTTCGGCCCTGGAAGATGCCACAAGTGAGGATGAGAAATTGTGGACACAGGCAGGATTGGCGGGGGGGCGACAAAGTTTAGCGCAGCGTGTGCATGTGTCCCGCACAAGGTCACTTGCTCGAGTACTTTCCAGGCGGGTTTCCCACCCAGCCACCTTCGAGGCTTCGAGGCCGGCCCGCCGCGCCCCTCAGCCTGGCTGAGCCCCAACCCGCAGGTCTCCGCCGGACCCCCGAACCCTGCTGGCCTCGGGGATCCGCGCTCCCGACCCCGGAGAGCCCCACAGCCGGGTCCCGTGCTCGTCCGCCTCCCCGGGGCTGCCCGCGCCCCAGTCCCATCCTCCCGCCGGGCGCCCCCGCGCTGCTCCTCCGGGTCCCGCGCCCCGAGCCGCCCTAGGCTCGGTGCCCCCGGGCACCCCTGCCCCGGTCGGCTCCTCACTACCGCAGCCTCCCGAGCCCCCGCTCCCGGCCCCGCCCCGCTCCCGGGCGGATACAGTTTGAAGCCTCTCAGGATCTCCCTGGCCCGCTCGTCCTTGGCTGACATGATGCGGCGGCCGCCGCCCGCGACTCTCCCACGCTGGCCGGCGGAGCCTCTCGGATGGTGCCCAGGAGCCGCGGGCCGAGCCGCAGCCGGGTCTGGAGATCTCAGGTTAGCAGCGGCAGCGGCCAGACCCGGACCGGCCTCTCCCTCCCCTCAGCTCCCGCTCCTGATCCCTTCTGCTTCCCTCTAGCCTCGGAGTGCCCGCCCCGAAGCCAATGGAAAGTCCGGCTCAGCAATTGACATCCCGAGAAGCCAATAGAAACGCTCAGCGGCTTCGCAGGGGGACGACGAGCGTCAATGGGAAAGGCCGTCCCTGAGAAGTCCCATGGGACAAAATTGTCATTCCTTGTTGTTGCTTAGAGTTTGCCCCAGCGGAGGGTTAGCTTAATACCTGAAGAGGCTCGAGGGGCCTGCTCCTCGCTGGGCACACTAGCCGTCTGGGAGCATGGCAGGTTGCACTGCGCGAAGTAGCGGAGACTACATTTCCCAGCATTCCGAGGGTGCGCTAGGAAGCACACATTTCAGCACACCGCCCCGAGGCCGAGGACTACACATCCCAGCATGCCCAGCGCCCCGGTCCTCTAACTTAGACCCCAGTGTGCCGCGCCGTGTGCGCAAATTCAGAACCCAGCCGGCGGGTTCTGCGGCTTCCCGATACGGAGGTTTGGAATCGGGCGGAAAGACTCTCTTCATCCTCAAGAAGAGATGACAGCCCACAGAGAATTAACTTTTGTTTACATGGAACTCAGAAGTCTCTTGCAAATCACGGTAAGGCTGCAAACAACAGACAGAAACATTGACTAAACCGTGAAAGCTAGTAGAACGAAATGACTTCCTAAAATCCTGCTGTTTGTCGGTCTGGGGCGCCTTGTAAGTGTTTTGCAGGGGTTTCTGGTGTGTTCCTGCTTCCGACTGGCTAAGCTATTGATTGTATACTCAGAATAGCAATACAGGAAGGGACTTGAAAGAATCTGCTAATCCTGTCCCTGTTGTTTTTACGTATGAGGAAACTGAGACCCAGAGGGGCGAAGAGATTGCTTAGAGATCACAGCAAGTTGGGGCAGGGTTAGAATTCGGCCCTGAGTCGGCCGGCGCAGTCTGGGCTCCACACTAGGAGGTGATATTTTTAGCAGCATGACAATGTGATTGTCACTGCCCTTGATGAGCAGTTTCCTCATCCAACGTTAAAACCAAAGGTTGGATGAGCATTTAGCTGGTGGTTTTCTTGCAGGTGAGGAAGTGTGGTATTTGTTTATCCTTAGTCTATGTAGGACGTGGTGTTTGAACTTGTTCTTTGTCACTCAAGGTGACATTTAATGTGATTTCAAGAAATAGGTAAAATTGGTGTAAATCCTTGGAGTGTTCTTGTATCCTCTTTCTGTCTCTCTTTTCACCTACCTGGGCACCCACCCAATTTTTCTTGTACATATTTCAACAAACATGTTTTTGGCTTCTGTTATTTCTCAGGGACTGAGTGGGTAGAAGGTGAAAGATACAGTTACTCTCATTAGGAAGGTAACTATTTATTTAGGGAAATGAGACTCCATTGAGATTCAAGGTGCAGTATGATAAGTGACATAAAAGAAATGACATCAGAATGCCACAGTGGCCCTGATTGAGATATCTATTTATTTATTTTGAGACAGGGTCCCATTATGTAGTTCAGGCTGGCCTTTAACTCATTGTGTAGCCCAGACTTGCCTGGAGCTCATGGTGATCCTCCTGCCGTAGCCTCCTGAATGCTGGGACTATAGGTGTAAGCTACCACACCTAACTCATGGAGAGACATCATACAAAACGTTCAGGAGGAAGTGGCATTTGAACTTGAAGGATAGGTAAGGTTGTTTTCTACATTAAAACATTTTTATCCTTAAATGTTTTTGTTAATGAGGTATAACATCCATGCAGGAAGGGGCAATTTCCCATACATATATACACCCCTGTGAGTCACCAGCAGATCAAGAGAGAGAACATTTCCGGTGCTTGTTATGCCCTTTCTCAGTCAGTACGGCATCCCACATCTCAAGATAACTGTTATTCTGACTTTATTGCTGTTAGGTCAGTTTTGTTCATACTTAAATTTCACTTAAATGTAGTCATACAGTTTGTATAGCACATGTTTGGCTTTTCTACTTCATCACTGTTTTTGTGGATTTGTCGATGTTGTAGCCCTTTGGTTTCAGTTATTTAGTAGCATCCCATTGTACGTGTACACCACAGTTTTATCTGGTGTACTGTTGGTGGGCAGTTAGAGTTTTTTCCTATTATTAACAAAGCTGCATGATTATTATTATGAGTAATAGTATTTGGTGGTACTGAGGATTGAGCGGAAGGGCTTTACACTGAGCTACATCCCCAGCCCTTTTTTAGCTTTTATTTTGAGACAGGGTCTCATGGTCATTAAGTTTCGCAGGCTAAGCTTGAATTTGTGATCCTCCTGCGTCAGCCTCCAAGAGTGCTGGGATGAAAAACGTTCCCTGTCACACCTGGCTAAGGTTTCATTCTCACATGGGCCTCCGTGTTTGATTCTTTTTGTGGACATGCACACACACTTCTAGACAGTTGCTGGCTTCTACAGTATGTGTATGACCAGTAACAGTAGATGGTGCCAGTTTGCCAAAGTGACTGTACAGTGCATGCCTTCACTGGAATCTAGTCCCCTCCTATGCTCATCAACGCGGGGTGTTTGTTGTCAGTTTTTAAATTTGTAGCCATTTGGGATAAATGTGGTATTTCATTGTGGTATTCACATTTTTCAGATGTTCAACACCTTTTCATATGCTTACTGCCAATTTGAATGCCCTCTTTAGAGAGGTGCCTGATAGGTGTCTTTTGCTCACTTTTAAAGACTGGGCTGTTTTCGTATTGATGGATAGTTCTGTTACAGTCTGGATGCAGAATTCCTTGTCAGATATATTTACACTTGTCTCCTTGTCAGACATTCTTTCAAATGTCTTTCCCAAGGCTGTGGCTTGTCTTTTCACTTTCTTACTGGTGTCTTTTGAAACAGAAATTCTTAATTTCAATGTAGGGTAATAGTTTAACATCTTCTTCTGTGATACACTCTAAATTGAATATAAGAAATCTTGGGGCGGGGATATAGCTCAGCGGCACAGCGCCTGCCTGGCAAGTGTGAGGTCATGACTTTCATTCCTGGTACAGGGGAAAAAAAAAAAGAAATCTTGCTGGGTGAAGTGGTACACGCCTTATAATCCCAGGCACTTGGGAAGCTGAGGCAGGAGGATTACTTCAAGTTCAAGGCCAGCCTGGGCTACATAATGAGCTTAAAGCTGGCCTGAATTACATACAAGACCCTGTCTCAAAAAAAAAAAAAAAAAAAAAAGAAAGGACATCTATGGCTGTTGAGTTAGTGTGATTTTTACAGACAAGCATGAGAGAAAAGCATTGTGAACACGAAGAGAGATCAAGCCTGGGGCAGCGCACTGGGAAGGGAGCCAGGAGGTCAGGCCAGGATTCTGGACAAAGCAGAGGCATTGCCGTAATACTCCTGAATACAAATGGGGCCCAGTTGTCTCGCTGCCACCCTCAGAACTGCTGCTCTGCCTCCCCTGCGCTGTGAATACTCCCCTCAGACAGCCCCAGTCTTGGGAGCCATGATCTGTGTGTCCTCCCTCCTCCCTGCACCCAGCTCCTCAGCGAGCCCCACAGGTTCCATCATCGAAATGTCTCCAGCGATGTCTCCTCTTTTTCGTCTCCAGCGGCCACCGCTTCCTCTGTTCAAGATTGAAGTCTCATGTGCAACGAGTCATCACCTCCGGGGTTTTCCTCTCTCCATCTGGGTCTCTCCACACCCAGTCCATCCTCTGTGATCCTACTGTGGTCATTCTGAAAGGGCAGTCAGACCTCTTCCCAGTTTAAAAGGCCTGAATACCTCCTGGGGGCCCTTAGTTTGTTTGTTTGGTTTTTGTTGTTGTTGTTGTTGTTGTTGTTGTTGTTGTTTTGAGACAGGGTTTTGCTATGCAGTTCAGGCTGGCCTCAAACTCCTGGCCATCCTCCTTCCTCAGCCTCCTGAATGCTGGGATAACAGGCATTAGCCACTATGCCTGATAAGATAGTTTTTTTTGTTTTTTTTTTTAAACTTGTTAGTTGACTTATGCACTTTGTGATTTGCTTGCTCATTTTTTTCAGATTAAATTCAGGTGTAAATAATTTCTCCCCAGGCCACAGTCCAAAGTCAGGAGAGCTTTGCTAGATGCCTTCTCCAGGGCTGTGCGCTCTCCAAGGTGGAGACCCCAGGTGGAAACTGCTGTGTTTAGGTTTTCCTTGGCTCCACACCCTTCATCTCTCACCCCTGAGCCCTGGTTCCAGACAAGTGGGGTTCCTTTTCTGCATCAGTGTGTGCTGTGCCGTGCTGACTTTGTGATTGTGGTCACTATGCCCTTCCACTTTTTGTCTGAAAAATGGCTGTGTGTTCATTCCCAAGGTATTCCCTTCTGTGCTTCTGGAGTAATATTATATTTCTCTCATAGCACTTAACATCCAGAGGTCTTCTTAGGGCAAAAACCTTATTGTATCTTCATATAAGCTTCTAGAATATATAGGTACTAAAGAATATGTTTGAATAAATAAGAGGCTGGTGCTGGGCTCCTTACCATCTGTCCTGATTTCTGCACCCTAATGCACAATAGGTGAATAGGGCTCTTTTCTGTGGTTTATACTCTACAGGAAACGGTTTAAGTGTTCAATTATGTAGTATTAATTATCTTCCCAGTGGAGTTGGTAGCAATCAAATGCCGTACCATGGATCTCCTCTCATTTTGCTGACAGAACCAAATGTTTGCCCAACCCATCTCCAGTTTACTTTAAAACCATTTTCTGATAGCCGGGCCTAGTGGCACACACCTGTAATCCCAGCACTGGGGAAGCTGAGGCAGATGCATCACTGCTAGCTCAAGGCCAGCCTGGGCTACATAGTCAAAAAAAAAATTTTTTTTTCCTTAATAGAGGTTAAGAACATGGGCCTTGACTTCAGATAGCCAGGATTACAAAGTGAGCTTGGATTAGAGGTAAGGGTTGAGGTTTAGGATTTTTAGGCTTGCTTAGCTCACCTGAACGATGAGCATATCACAGGCCATCCTATTAGGAGAATTCAGTGAGATAATATTTGTACACATCTGCCACATGGAAAAATGCTCAACAGACGCTCAATAGTGATTTTTTAAGTGTGCCTGAGGGATCAAGCACAATCAGAGGGGTAGGTTTCTGCGCGGGATGGTGCGCGCGACAGCGAAGGTTTGAGCCCCCAGTGTCCTCAAACCATGCTGCCGTCCTCAGGCTCCTTTCCGCCCCGCTCCCGGACTGCAGCCAGGCCGCGATCCTCCTCTCCCGCCCGCGCCCCACGCGAGGTAGGTGGCATGGAGCGGGGTGCGGGGAACCTTGTGTGGGCGGAACTCGAGTGCAGCGACAGGAGGCTTCCGGGGGAGCCGCTAGGGCGACGGGTCGGCGGAGACAGAAAAGCGCCGGACGCCGGGCCGATCATGGACGCTTGACAACCTGGGGACAGGCGCTGGAAGGCCGAGCCAGCGACTGAAAGGACGGAGAGGCGGCGCGGACAGGTAGGGGCCCGCGAGAGGGCGTGTCTAGCGGGGGGCCGATGGGCCAGTCTCAGCCGGACCTCCGGCTTCGTGCCAGCAGCCGGGAGAGCCCGCCGCCCCGCCGCCCCGCCCCC